ACAGTTGGCTTGTTATTTGCGGGGAAAAGGTTAACTTTCCCTGACCGGTCGAACCGGACGCGGGCGGTGAAGCGCCGAATCTAACCACTAGACCACCAGGGAACTGTAAAGGTGCCTGAAACTGTGGCTCACGAGGCTTGTGGTACCCAGGGCTCAAGGTTTCCCGCATTGACAGTGCAATTCAAATGCTTGCCCAGCACAGGCACTGAAAATGTCACCAAGGTCCACGGCTACAGATTTCCTCAATCGCCCTAGTGGAGCTGCAGCAAGATTGCTTGCTTTAAAGGCAACAAGGAAAACGATTTCAAATTAAAGTGCGAGCTACACAGCTTCAATCAACCGTTATTTAACCGTCTTGTTATCTCCATTTGCTGGGCATGTCATAGCCCCCCTCCCTCTCCAAGTGAGTTTGCCACGAGCTCCTGGAGGAGCCTGCTTGCCAGCCTCCTACCCACAAATTATGGGCCCTGCAGGGAAACCTGTAAAGACTACAAAACTTGACGAGCCGTTAGCACTGATTTCATGGAACTGTTTTGGGCATAGGACCATGTGTGCAGCTTAGTCCAAGTGACTTCAGGAAATTCCTGAACCACTGAACTGATGGGTGATCTTTGGATATATTGATCACAGTTGAAAACTGTTGCGGGGAAAAGGTTAATTTTCCCTGACCGAGAATCGAACCGGACGCTTGGCGGTGAAGCGCCGAATCTAACTCACTAAGACCACCAAAGAGGAACTGTAAGAAGTGCCAGAAACTGTGAAAACGAGCTTGTGGTACCCAGGAGCTCAAGGTTTCCGCGTGACAGTGCAATTCAAATGCTTGCAGCACAAGGCACTGAAAAATGTCACCAAGGTCCATTCTGACACAGATTTCCTCAAAACAGCCTAGGTAGACTGCAGCAAGATTGCTTACTTTAAAGGCAACAAGGAAAACGATTTCAAATTAAAGTGCCAGCTACACAGCTTCAATCAACCGTTATTTAACCGTCTTGTTATCTCCATTTGCTGGGCATGTCATAGCTCCCCTCCCTCTCCAAGTGAGTTTGCCACGAGCTCCTGGAGGAGCCTGCTTGCCAGCCTCCTACCCACAAATTATGGGCCCTGCAGGGAAACCTGTAAAAGACTACAAAACTTGACCGACCGTTAGCACTGATTTCATGGAACTGTTTTGGGCATAGGACCATGTGCACGCTTGGTCAAAATTACGACTTCCAGGAAATTCCTGAACCACTGAACTGATCTGGGTGATCTTTGGATATGTTGATCACAGTTGGCTTGTTACGGGAAAAGGTTAACTTTCCCTGACCGGGAATCGAACCCGGGCCGCGGCGGTGAGAGCGCCGAATCCTAACCACTAGACCACCAGGGAACTGTAAGGTGCAAGAAACTGTGAAAACACGAGCTTGTGGTACCCAGGAGCTCAAGGTTTCCACGTGACAGTGCAATTCAAATGCTTGCCTTTTAAGGCACTGAAAATGTCACCAAGGTCCATTCGGCTTTAGATTTCCTCAAGCCCTAGTGGAGCTGCAGCAGATTGCTTACTTCAAGGCAACAAGAGCGATTTCAAATTAAAGTGCGAGCTACACAGCTTCAATCAACCGTTATTTAACCGTCTTGTTATCTCCATTTGCTGGGCATGTCATAGCTCCCCTCCCTCTCCAAGTGAGTTTGCCACGAGCTCCTGGAGAAGCCTGCTTGCCAGCCTCTCCTACCCACAAATTATGGGCCCTGCAGGGAAACCTGTAAAAGACTACAAAAACTTGACCGACCGTTAGCACTGATTTCATGGAACTGTTTTGGGCATAGGACCATGTGCACGCTTGGTCAAAATTATGACTTCCAGGAAATTCCTGAACCACTGAACTGATCTGTGTGATCTTTGGATATATTGATCACAGTTGGCTTGTTGCGGGAAAATGTTAACTTTCCCTGACCGGGAATCGAACCCAGGCTGCGGCGTTGAGAGCGCCGAATCCTAACCACTAGACCACCAGGGAACTGTAAGGTGCCAGAAACTGTGAAAACACGAGCTTGTGGTACCCAGGAGCTCAAGGTTTCCACGTGACAGTGCAATTCAAATGCTTGCCTTTTAAGGCACTGAAAATGTCACCAAGGTCCATTCTGACACAGATTTCCTCAATGCGCCCTAATTAGACTGCAGCAAGATTGCTTACTTTAAAGGCAACAAGGAAAACGATTTCAAATTAAAGTGCGAGCTACACAGCTTCAATCAACCGTTATTTAACCGTCTTGTTATCTCCATTTGCTGGGCATGTCATAGCTCCCCTCCCTCTCCAAGTGAGTTTGCCACGAGCTCCTGGAGGAGCCTGCTTGCCAGCCTCCTACCCACAAATTATGGGCCCTGCAGGGAAACCTGTAAAAGACTACAAACACTTGACCGACCGTTAGCACTGATTTCATGGAACTGTTTTGGGCATAGGACCATGTGCACGCTTGGTCAAAATTACGACTTCCAGGAAATTCCTGAACCACTGAACTGATCTGGGTGATCTTTGGATATGTTGATCACAGTTGGCTTGTTGCGGGAAAAGGTTAACTTTTCCTGA